AAACACGAATCTGAAAACTAACAGGTTAATCCATATAATCATCAACAAGTTAAAAACAAATATAATATGTACCACAACTAGAAATAAAACACGAATCTGAAAACCAACAAGTTAATCCATATAATCATGAACAAGTTAAAAAACCAATATAATATGTACCACAACTAGAAATGAAACACGAATCTGAAAACTAACAGGTTAATCCATATAATCATCAACAAGTTAAAAACAAATATAATATGTACCACAACTAGAAATAGAAAACGAATCTGAAAACCAACAAGTTAATCCATATAATCATCCAAGTCGCACTCAATGGCATCTGTTGGCGTCATAAAATTCATTTTTGGGGCATTTGGAGCCCTGTTATCATCACTTTCATATCCCAATTGCTGCTTCCGCAAGCCATGCTTGAACAACTCAACTGCCATCTTCTTGCGAAACAATGTTCCAGCCCCTTCGTCTCTCAAACAATCATCAGATCCGGCTTCCATTAATATCTCAGCCATCTTGAGCATAAAAATTCCACAATCACCACTACAAAAAATAACCACCAAAAATCTAACAATTAGAAACAACAAATATAAATGTAAAAATGAATGAAGGGAAAATAACAAAACATTTAAAGATAAAAAAAACTACAGAAGCACGGACTTGCTTCTCTATCCTCTTTGAAAAAAGAGAATCATATAACCTAATACAATGATCTTTGAACTCTACATAACCTAAAATCCAATGCTGCCTACGCTCAAGAAAAATAGGTACAAGAAGAATGTCCACCTCACAAAAAGGCAAGCTACAAAATAAATAATCTCCTAACACATAATCTTGAAGAGCACTATGTGAAGAGAAATCAAAACGAGACCAATCAAAATCCTTATGGTTTTTAGAGCTTCCTTACTGTGTCGAACCAAGTTTAAAAACAACTTAACATCATCATCCCTCTTAAGGTCTGAAACAATTTCAATTGGGTCCTTCAACTTCCTTCCCACAAAAAGTAATAAAGAATGAACACCAGCATTAAAACCAAACAACTCAAGATTCAGCTCCTCACATAAACACTCCTGTAAAAACTTCAAAGAAGCATCCTCTGGAATAAAAACTGATTGAAAACTAAAATTTGTATATTGGTTTTCTAGACTCCATTTTCCCCTATAAGCAACAATGACTGAAATAGATTGCATGCCTACAAACATATTGCAGGAACACTGTCACGTTAAAGTGCATAACCGGACAAGTTATATAAAAAAACCTCTCAATTATGGACCATAACTCATCTAGTTATGTTCCATAACCACACAAGTTATAACAAAAACTGTCATGACTGAAACAAATTGAAAACAAACCAAAAAAATGCAAAACGAAGAATCGACCGGAAAACGAAATTACAACAAAAATGAAATTACAAAAAAAAAAAATAGAAACGAAGAATGCCCAAACATGTTGTTCCGTAAAAATCGACCGGAAAACAGCAAAAAACAAAGGATTAACAGACAAAGAAAGAAAACAAATCGAAAAATTGTAAAATATGAAAACGAAAATACAACAAAAAAAAACTAGAACCTGGTAAAGCATCGGAACAGCTGCTCAAATCCAAACGAGAACAAGAACTACCGATCGACGAACCTGTTGATCCACTGACGATTCACCGACGAGCAAATGGAAAACCGATGATCCGCCGACGATCCACCGACGAGAGACAAAATCCGAGCACAGTTACGAGAGAGAGAGAGCTGCGAGAAACTAGAGAGAGAGAGAGATCTGGGACAGAGAGAGAGAGAGAAAGACAGAGACGATCGAAAGAAACAAAAGGAAAAAAAGGGTAAATTTGGAAATTTAAAAATTATGGCCTATTAATTTTTAAAACTAAAAATTGGCCTATATGCTTCCTTAAGGTTTTAAAATTGGTCTATTCTCTACTATTTCCCTTATTTTAATTTGGTACATTTTCTTTTTCTTGGTGAATAAAAGCTTTAATAGAAAGGCCAAAGCCCAAAAGCCATTCTTTGTTCAGTAATTTGGTTATTGGCAAAAGACTATACCAAACCGATACTATAGCTAGTGGTGGAACTTTGGGCCGGCAGGCAAGCCCGTTGCCCAAATTTTTCAGGCTTAGCGGGCAGGCCCATATACCCACCCGTCCAAAGTGGTATTTCAGGCTCGGGCTCGGGCAGCCCGAATTTGGGCACCTCACCGGAGCCCACCACCGTGTAAGCGCCGTCAACTGCTGTCCGCCGAAGTTTTTTTTGAATTTTTCCGGCCAAGCCCGATTTGGCCGAATGCCTAACTACCCAAAAATCGCAAAAAAGGGTCAAAATTCCGACCGTTGGTGTACGACCCGAATTTTGCCCGAATGCCCGATATGCCCGAAAACCCGTGCAACGGCTAGTTTTTTTGCCCGAACCCGACCACCGATTCCTAAAGTAGCCGTTGCACCCCGAATTATTTGAAAAAAAAATCAATTTTTTAACCCAAAAATTTTCCTATAAATACCCATCATCCGCCACACATGTTTCTCACTCAAACTCTCTCAATCCCTCTCAATTTCTCTCAATCTCACTCAATTTCTTTCAATCTCTCTCAATCTCTAAAATCTCCATCACAATTTTTCTAAAAACTATCACATTATCCTAAAGTTCTCTCTCTTAAATCGCTCTTTTTTTTTATAATAGATCCTTTTGGTTATAGTGGTATTCCCGTTGATGCCCAACATACTGTGGAAGAAGGGCAATTTCCCACTAATGAATTTGTTACGCTTGAATCTACTAATCCGAGCCATGTTGGACATACTGGAGGTCGTGGTCGCAATGGTGGTGGGCATGGAGAAGCGGCGACGGCGAGTGTCAGTGCGACTGCGTCTGCAAGTGTTGCGACCTCTAGGAGGAAATGCAAGCGCACCTCGACAGTTTGGGATCACTTCGACATAATTGAGGAGATCGACAATAAAGGTAACACTAAACATATAGCTCAGTGTAAATATTGTTTATCTAAATTACAAGGTGACACTATTCACGGCACCACACACTTGAGAAGATACTCCGAAAAGTGTCTTCAAAAGCTTAGCCAATCCGGCGGATCTGAACTCCGCCAAACACAATTATCTTTTGATCACACAACCGGTGGTTTAACCACTTGAAAATACGATCCGCAAGTAGATCGTATGAAAGTTGCACGAATGATAGCTGCTTTAGATCAACCACTTAATTTTGTAGAGCATCCTAATTGGCAAAGATATATTAAGGTTGTACATAATCCTAATGCACAGTTCACTTCAAAAACTACTCTTAGGAAAGATTTATTAAAATTATTTAAAAAAGAAAAAGAAGCATTAATAAACCTTTTACACTCGACTAGCGGGTGCGTTGCATTAACGGCAAATATTTAGTCTGCCGTTGCCAATAAAGATTATTTAGCTGTAACCGGACATTACTTTAAAGGATTTGATTTAGATAAGAGAATATTAGATTTTAAATGTGTTCTAGGATCACATAGTGCGGATTTAATATATAATACCATTTTAAATGTAATTGATGAATTTAGATTAAGAGATAAAGTAATAGCTATAACATTAGATAATGATATTGCCAATATAAAAGCAATTGAGTTCTTTGAAAATGATTTAAGTTTATTCAGTGACAGTACAATTTTCCACCAACGTTGTGCATGTCACGTAATTAATTTAGTTGTTAAATCTGGTTTAAAAGAAATGGGTAATCACATGAAAAGAATTAGAGATAGTCTTGCATGGATTCAAGGTAGTAACCAAAGACAAGAAGATTGGTTTAGGTTCTTACAAGCATTAAATATACCTCCTAGAGCATTAGCGTTAGATATGCCTATAAGATGGAACTCAACTTACATTATGCTTCAACAATACATCCCCTATAAGGATGCTATAACAAACTATATGTGTGCAAAAGTAGGAGTAAATCATATAGACGCATATGATTGGTAAATTGTTGAAGTTTTGTATCAATTTTTAGGTAGGTTTCATGAAGTGACTCTAAAACTTAGTGGAACATATTATCCAACATCACCTTTAGTTTTAGGAGAACTTTTACGAATTAGTATTTTATTTAGCGAATATAGGGAGGACCCAATCTTAGCAGTTCCTATCCAGTCAATAGAAAAGAAATTTATAAAATATTGGTCTAAGTTGCCTTTAATGTATGGTTTAGGTACTATTTTTTATCATAGATTAAAATTAGAAGGTTTAGAAAGTGGTTTAGATAACTTAGGTGAATTTTTAGGCATCAATTGTTCGGACCAATATCCAATAATAAAGGAAAAAATATTTTTGATCTATAGTAAATATGATATTAGGTTTAGAGTACCTCCTAGAGTATAGGAACTGCAACAACAAGACGAAAACCCGCATTCATTCTTGAATGTTTTCGGGTTGAAAAAGAAGAAGAAGACAACTCAAACAGAAGCTGGGAGTGAATCTTCGTCAATAAGTGGCAGTGGTAGCGGCGGCGACAGCTTCAATGAGCTTATGGTGTACCTCAGTGAAGGCTTAGTAGTCGACGGTATGGCAGAATTGTTTGACTTAGTTCAATGGTGGAGGACACGGGCATTAACTTGGCCAATCCTAACTCGATTGGCAATGGATATATTTCGATCCCAGTCTCCACTATTTCATCCGAACAAGCCTTCAGTACGACAGGAAGAATACTTTAGGAACGCCGGAATGCATTGCAAAGGGATATTGTTGAAGCCTTGGTTTGCATTAAGGATTGAGATCGGGCCGATCAACGTCTACAAGATACAATTTCGCTGGCAAGCCAAGAATGAATCAATGAATTTAATCGATTAACATTTAATTTGAAGACGATCCTTCAGCTTCAAATTAAATTGTAAATTTATAATTTGTAAATATGTATTTACTTTTGACATTGTATTTGTAATTGTATAACTTTGTAAGTTTGTAAAATTTGTAATTCGTCACAAAATGATTGCACTATTTTTTCCTTGCCAAGTTTTTATCCCAATTGGGTTTTTCTTAGTAAGGTTTTTAACGAGGCAATCATGAATTACGAATTTAATATACATCATTAATATACATGATTAATTTATTCAATTGTGTTAATAATGTATGTTGAATGTTGATTTTTATTTTTATATAATTTTAATACAAACTAACTTAATAATTATAAATTTTAAAAATATTAAAAAAATTCGGGCTATTCGGGCGGCCCGGCCGGGTTCGGGCAACCAAATATAAGCCCGCGGCCTGTTTAAGGGCATTTTCGGGCTCGGGCGGGCGGCCTGAATTTTTCAGGCGGGTCTGGCTCAGGTAAAAACTCAGTATTTTTGGGCAGTCACGGGCGGTCTGTCTAAAGTTCCAGCACTAACTATAGCTAGGGCAATTTTGGGCCATGAGAACAACACTACATCTTAACCAATCAAATTATATGCAATCCCATGTCAACTAACTTATAAACGTCTACATTTTAACTTAAAAAAAGTAGTAATAACTCTTATAGTATTTAGCAATATTGTCAATATAATTTTCACTACATTGTCTTATGACTACAAGCCTACGTCAAAACAAAAGGCACAAAAGTAAATATATGTACATATATATAATATTCTTCCTAGTAACATATAGATATACATCCCTAACCATGACACATTCAAACTATTTAGATCATTACACCAATCTAAAAACCATATTGTAGACCGATGCTCAAGACCATAAGCTTTAATTTATTGAATCAAAAGCTCAACAACTTGGGAGGAATGAGAGGCAAATCAACCTCGTCGCACCATTCCACACACCTAGTCTCAAAATACGAACTATTCACTTCGTTTGGCCAGTAACTCACCCAAACTTTCCCTCCAATTCTCCACTTCAACACACTCCCTTCCATTTCCTTACTCAGTCTCCACCCTACTTCCTCTCCATAATCATCCCCGGCCAGCACCAAACCCCCACTCTTCGTAAACACCCTATCGGTCCCGTTGTACCTGTCGCGAAACCCGCCATGATCATCTCCGCCAGTGGACGGCTTCCACGTGGCAACTTCACTGCCCGTGGCGCCGTCGCAGAGCACCGCGTCGAACACCGCCGCGTTGCCCTCGGCGTCCTGGTCCCACCGCCAGCTCCTCTGTCTCGTCCTCCTCAACGTCCTCGATGTGGCCTTTACCTTCGGAGACAACATTTTGGATATTCCGAAACTGCCCTTCACGATGCTATGAGTTTCGACCTCTCTCTCGCCGTGCTTCTCCGAGGACCGGCCCAGGCTCAGCCCGGCGACATAATTCGCCCCGACCTCCGGCCCAACCCAAACCCGGATTCTCGACGGGAAGTGCCTCTCCTCTCCGAGCTCCACGTCATCATCGTCGTTGTCCTTGTTGTACCCGAGTTTCGTCACGTGCAGGCGTAGATTATCAACACGTGCGTTTACCTGAATCAGGCCTTCGTAGAATCCGACCGTGTATTCAAACTGAATAACGGCCTCGAGCTGCTGGTGCGCCAGCACGTATTTCAGCACCGGAAACTGAATATTTCTGGCGGAGCCGCTCGTGAGTTTCATCCCCGCGATCGGCGCGTAGCCCTTGAGAGTCCAAAACCCATGGGCCTCCGTTGCGTAAGAGAATCCCAGATTGTTATTCTTCTCAGACCACGTCGTTAATGGGGTTAACATTTGTAATCCTACGCCCACCTCCTTTAAAATGCACCATTTTGCTAACATGTACCCGACGGTGCGCATGAAACGCAGCTCTGCGTCGACTCCGACTGTGGCGAAAAACGCGCGCAGAGCCCGCGAGTTCTTCGACGACACGACGGTTTCGATGTTTGGAGCCAACAAGGCACGGAAATAGAGAGAGCCGACCTCGGTCGGCGCGTCGCAGGCGCAGAGCCAGAAGAGGCGCGTGAGGAGGACGAGGCTGAAGAAGCTGGAGAAGGACTCGGGGGAGTGAGAGTCCATGATCCATGAAACGACGTCGGGTTTGAGCTTCTGGAGCTGGGAACGAGGGCAGGGGGTGGTGCTATAGTGCGCCGTAGGTGAACGGGAGACGGTCTCTTGGAGAAGCTGAAGAACCAGAGGGAGAAAAGGCTTCTCGGATGAGAGATGACACGTGTCCGACACCCAGAGAATCTTTGGGGAGGCGGTGATCACGTGGTTGAAGCCATGTAAGTATACGGTGAAGTTCACTAACGAATCAATGGTGGAACCGGAGGTTTTCTCGGCCCTGAGTTGAATGGACCGAGTTGAGTTCTCCGTACCGGAGCTCGCGAGTTCGAAGACGGGTGGTGATGACTCTGAGTCGGTCCACAGGTTCGAGTTTGGCAACTCACAAATCCATGACCAAACATCCATCATTTCTTGCAACGTTGTTGTTGTTGGTTTTTTTTTTTTTTTTTTTTTTTTGTAGTGTTTGGGAGCTAGGAAAGTGTGAAGAAGCGGATTTGGAGGGTTGCTGGGATTTTAAAGGGAGAATGAGTGATAGTAGACTTGCCAACTTGGAAGTATCAAGATAAACCACGTATCCTAAGAAGCTGGTGGTTTCTAAAGGATATTGTATCTGGTGTTTCGAATTAGTGGTTTTGCTTGTGTTGATTTGAGCTTTAGATTGGATGCATTTATGAATGTCGATTTTATTTCACTTTCTTTCTTGGATTCTTTCATTTTCTTGCTTGATGAAGAATCTGGTTGAAAATGCATGTGTGCTGCATATCTCGTCAATGGCCCCAAACTGAGGACGTGGAGTTTAGTGTAGTATGGGGTTTGGCGGTTTACACGTGTAGTGTTTTATAGCTACAGACGAATTTACAGGTCTTGAGATTTTAGAATCACCAAAAAAGAATAAAATAAATTATTAAATGAGGAGAAGAATAGATATTCAATTACATCGGTGGCCATGTGAACTTGTTAGAAATATCCAAAAGGAAATCTAATGCAGAAAAGTCTACAGTAATTATTTATTTATTTTCTTCACTCACGTAATTCTCATTTCTAGATTATGTATGCATGTATATACTATTTATTTTACCATCTTTACAAATGACTACGCGCTTAAAATTGATGGCAGCAGTCTATACATAAAACAAAAGAATTGGTAGAAGAAATACAGTTTAGATACAGTTTTATGGTTCTTATTAATGAAACGTATATATCATATTTATAAACCTCGAATAGAAAAGAGATTAGACAGTTTCTTTCCCGAACTGTGAGATATCTTACAATCAATGCAGCTGGTAAGAGAAGTAAAGATCTACAAAACTTTGGGCGACTGCATAAATATGTTGACACCGGGTTGTAAAGGTAAGACATAAATGACTAGGACGTGTATTAATTGGAGCCACAAACAGTTAAATGTGTTTTTTTTTTTTTTTTTTTTTTTTTTTGCCGTCATTTTGCCAAGCCATATAGTTAACTGACCCAAAAGCAAATATATATTAATTATAACACCACTAAAAAATTTACATTAAACGACGGCTATATATAATGACGAATTCTTAAAAAACCTAGTCTAATTATGTGCATCAAAAATATGTCATGGAAACTTTTGTGTCTGAAAAATTCATGCATGCTCATTAGATGATAATTCTACACATTAAATATTTTTGGAACTGTGATAGCCATTCCGCCCATTTCAATTGAGATAGAGTTTAAGACATCGTATTTAGTGAAAAAAAAAAATGGATATTTGTTGTCAATTATCAGACAATATTCACTCCTTCACAAACCTCCTCTGGGTTTCTGAAAATGCATTATATTCACGTAAGTCTAAATGAATTTTTCGGCACTCTGGTATGATCATTACCACATTGAGCTCAACTAGCTAGGCTGGGGCTTCTAGGCATGCAGCTTTAGTTGCCTTTTCGAGTTTAGTCGTCGCAAGAGTGAGATCTTGTTTTAATCATTTTTCCAAACTGTTCGAATGAAATGAATTAGGCACAAATTAAGCAACTAAGTATTGCTGCTAATTTATCGTTACGACCTAGGCCCTGTCCAATGTTTCTCCCTTCGCCGTACGTCACCCACTACAACAAAAAGGGTAATTAGTGACGACATTTATCGTTGCTAAAATTATAGTATTAGCAACGACATGTCGTCGCTTAAAAGAAAATAAAATTTTTGAACGAGTCATCATCGCATTAAGCAATTGCGACGACATGTCGTTGCACAAAATTTCTATATTTACGACGACATGTCGTCGCTAAAATTGAACGGGTTATTAGCGACGACATGTCGTCGCTCATATCCATTGGTGCCATAACCAATCTGGCACCAACAATTTTGCCACCAGTTTGTACATTATTGTCATCGTAAATATTGATGGTTACAGTTGGCGGCGACGTGGCCAAAAAGATGCGGGAAATTTGGCGGTTTCCCGTGAATAGGTTCCAAATATTTCTTAATTTTTTGCGACGACAAGTCGTCGCAAAAAATGGTTCCAAAAAATTCTTTTCAGAATGACTGTTTTGCGACGACGCGTATCGTCAAAAAAAGGGTTCCAGAAAATTCTATCAATGACGACTGTTTTTTGCGATGACCGTTTTATTATTGTCGTCACAAATAACTGGGGATTTAATTTTCCCCAAAAAAAGGTTGGAAACTTTGGCAGTTTCCTCAAAATTATTTGCGACGACATTATTAAATTATCGTCGCAAAAAATGAACTAGGGTATATTCCTCAAGAATATTCTCAGAAATATTAATGAGGTGAAGAAGAACGACGTTGTTTTAACATTAATTGCGACGACGATTTAATCTTTGTTGTGACGACATAATGTCGTCGCAAAAAACCACCTGCATAAACGAAATCGCAGACCTCCTTCCGCCATTTTTCCCGATGAGCTTCTCGCGTTTTCCCTTATTCTCTTTGTCCAAAACCTCCAAAAACCATCCAAAAACACTGAAAATAGCTTAAAAATATCATTCTCTCTTGAAATCTTTCATTTGTGGAGAAAAAAAGTCAAAAAATACGGAGTTTTCATCTCCCCCTCACCGCCCACTTTTTTGGCCATACTCGCCATTTTTTGGCCGCCGGCACCCTCTTTCC